CAGCAGCTTGGCATACTGCAGGTCCAACCGGCCCAGGCAGTCGCGGTAGGTGCCCCTGAGGGCTGGGGAGAGCTGGCCCTGCGGGACACGAGGAGGGTGAGGCCTTCGTGGCCCGGACCTGTCCAACCCTGAGGCCCACCCCACGGGCACCCATTCACCTCGTCTGTCCGTGCCCGTTCAATCTTGGCCCGGAACTCCTCAATGGACTGGTGCAGGCCACGGTGGCTGCCCAGCTGTGCCTCCACGCTGGGCAGGTCCACACCCCACTCGGCACTGTCTACCCGGCGCTGGTTGTCCTCCACCCAGACCAGAAGGTCCTGCAGGTAACGCAGAGTGGAGTCCTCGAGCTCCGGGCGCCGCTGCGTGCTCTGCAGTGTCACTTGGGTTACCTGGGTCACGGGGGCCGCGACACCCGCCTTCAACCGAAGGTTGTACTCAGTGCGAATGGCCACCAGGCGCTCATGCAGGCGGTACACCCTGGAGGCAGGGGTGAGTCAGGAGGGGTGAGCAGGGAACTGGCTGCCCCCAGGCCCCCCAGTCCCCACACTTGGGGTGGGGTGCAGCCAACCTGCGGTACATCTGTTCGCCCTGTGGGTGCCGCCCATCCTTCAGGGCCTGCACATCATTGAATAGCAGCCGGATCATGCCATCTGCCTTGTCCAGGTCCCGCTCCACCTCACCGGCCCGCTGTGGTACCTTGCCTGCGGCCAGCAACCGAATGTCCTGCATGGTGATTGCCAAGACTCAGACCCCCGCCCTGACCTTTCCCCTTCCATCCTAGTACATCTTCCAGATGTGCAAATCCCCAGCCCTGGCTCTGGGGGGGTGGGGGGGGAGAACCAGGATCCAGTCCAAAGGCCTCACTGGGTCCAAGCAGGCAGACCCTTCAAGGCCTCATCCAATGCTCCAGGGCCTCACCCTCCCCACCACACCCTCCCAGCAGCAAGCCCTCAGGAGGGCCTCTTCGGTGTCCGGCATGGTGCCCAGAAGCCAGCTCAGCCCAAAGCAGTCAGAGTTGGCCGCACACCAGGAAGGAGGGGCAAAGCTGGGGGCCACTGGAGTGGGCGTGGCAGGTTCAGGCTCCTCCCCCCATCCCTGTTGCCTGGTGCCCAGTCCCACCCTGTCCCCTCCCCCTCACCGACTGCAGCAGGGCGTCGGCCTGGTTCAGCTGCTCCTCGCACAGCCCAGCCTCCATCTGCAGTTTGCTTACGATACGCTGAAGACACTCCAGCCTACAGCCCAGCACCCACAGGACCAACGTGAGGGGATTGCCCTCAGGCTCCCAGCGCAGAGCAGTACTGTGCTTCTCCTGCCCTCCCCGCCGGCCTGCAGCCCACTGTCCTGCCGTCAGAGTATGGGTTTCCCAGCCTTGGGGGGAATTTCCTCCCCATGCAGTGACTCATCCTCGGGTGGCTTTCCTGCCACCACAGGGCCCCACCCGACTAGACTAACCGCAGCCTCCCCAACCCTAGCACCGCCCACCTCTCAAACTCGTTCCGGAGCTGCTTTTCCCGCTCCAGGATGGCGACGTGCAGCTTCCCCCACTCCTTCTCCACGTCCAGCGGGTGGTAGCCAGGTGGCACCTTGAGCTGGCCTGCCTGCACCGCCCCCTGTGATCAGGAGCCAAGCTCAGGCCTGGGCCAGCAGAGCAGTGGGGGTGTTGAGCTACTCAGACCTCCAGGCACCCAGCCTGCCCAACCTGGAACAGCCCTGGTCCCCGAAGCTTAGGAGTGAGGCCAGGCCCCTGGACAACCTCACTCACCTCCAGAATGCCCTCTTCTTGCCTCTGAAATGCCCCCACTCACCTCCTTCTGGACCTGCACTCACCTCCAGGGACTGATAGATGCCCTTGGATCGGTTCTTGTCAGCCTCCTTGGCCGGAAGCTCTGTCTCCTTAAACTTCAAGAACTGGCACCACAGGATCTGTAGGGACCAAGATGTCAGCAGCCAGGCCTGGGCCCCTCGGCAGGCACAGGACCCCAGCCCGAGCTGATAGGCCCACCTCAATCTCCTCGAAGCTGGAAGGAAACTTGCGCTCCTCGAAGGCAGCTGTGTGGTGCCGGATCCACTGCAGCAGGAGCAACACTAGCTCCCGGTACTCCTGCCAGCGCAGCTGCAGCTCCTGAGGGCAAGTCAGGGCTGTCAGGGCCATGGGGCCGGCAGGCCCACTCCCACGCCCACCGGGGCCCACCAGCAGCCACACACATTGGCCTTCACTCCATCCTGCGCGTCAGGCACACGGGGCATGGCATCATACAGGGACGAGACGTATGTGATGATGGATTTCTCATCAGGCTGAGGGACGTCCACGTCTGTGGGAGAGGAAGGTCAGAGGGCCCATGCAGGCAGCAAAAGAGGGGGGAGGGCAGCAGCACGGACACACCTTCAGGGTCCAACAGCCGGGTCACTCCCAGGTCCCGCTCAGCCACAGAGAAGGCCTGGTCCAGGTTCTCCAGGTTGGTCTGACCATACACCTTGTTCATATCGATGAGCATGGGCCTGAGGAAAAGTGGCCAATGGAGCGGGCAGGTGGGGAAACAGGCAGTAAGACAGGTCAGCACACAGACCCTCCCTATATCCCAGCTCCACACTCACCCTGAAAAATACACTGCCACCCCACTGGTGCCCAGCTGTGCCCACACAAGTAGTCCTCTGTACTTTGGGCCCTATCCCTGGCGCTCAAGAGACCTACAGTGGTCATAGATGCAGGTGGAATACACTGAGCAAACAGTGCCAGTCAGCCTGGGCTCCCTACAGCCACCCTGTCCATCAGGCCCCAGGTCCATCCCCAGTATGGCCTGGCCACCTAGAACCCACGTGGGGCAGATGCTCATGACTGTGAGAAGCAACAGCCCACTGGCCTCTGGCTTTGAGGAAACCAGGGTGCTCATGGAAGGGCCCAGAGTAGGCGTGCAGGGTGTGGGCAGGGCTCTGCCCGCCTCCTCCCAGCGCGGCAGGCCGGCACAGCACTCATCCCCGCAGGCAGCAGGTTCCTGTTCATGGAAAACACCCCTCCACCACCCTCCCTGCCCTGACTTGTTTGAAGTCACCCAGCTGGGCTGCCCCAGGGCACCCCGACCCGCAGCCTCTCGTCTGACCCCGGCCACGTACCTGTGCCGATGGATGATGGCATTGAAGAGGCGGCCGTCACGCCAGCTGGAGGTGAAGTTGTCGCAGCGCAGACCCTGGTAGCCCTCCACCATGCGCTGAGACCACAGCAGCAGCTTCTCCTTGGCTGTCATGTCCTCGGACTGCCCACTCACCTGGATGTCTGAGATCTGCCCAGAGCGGGCAGGAGGCAGGGGCTCAGCCACACCACCCACACTGCCCCATGCCCACAACCCATGTCTGTGGGCAGGGGCAGCTCCGGACCCAGTTGGGATAAAAAAGCCACCAGGCCAGCAGAGGACGAGTGGGGCGCCCGGGGCGCCTCTCACATCAGCCGAGCCACTGGGACCCACCACACTGCAGCCCCACAAGCCCAGGCCTTTGGCCAGCAGCTGCCACAGAATAAATCAGAGACCCAGCCTCCACTACAGACACATGGTAGATGCTCTGGACTCCCTCAGCTAGGGAGATGGGGCCTGGAGCACATCCTGAACCCTGCAAGTTAGTGGAGGGGGCTCAAGAAAAGCAGCTGCAGGCTCGAGCTCATCCAGGAAACCAGGCCCAGAAAAGGCTATCTTGGTGGATGTAGGGCCATCAGCCCCCTCTCTGGCTGCAGCCTGGGGGTAGGGTCCTTAGGTCTGGGCATGGTATGCCTGGCAGCCTCAGCCTGGGCATGCTAGGGCCATGGTACCAGCCTGGCCCTGCACACAGTCCATTCCATTTGACTGTCTGTACACCCGCCTGCCTGTCAGCCTGCACAACTGTGTGACTCAGCTGCCATGCCAGCAGGGCTCTGCCTGCCCAGCTTTCAGATTTGTGGCTTCCTGTGCACCCCAGTGGGCAATGGATGAGTCAGCCAGTACAACGGGTGCTTCTCCAGAACCTTCCCTAGGCAGGCGGCTGTACCAGCAGGGAATGCATTCCTCTGGAGGGAGGTTCTGCAGGCCCTGCCCAGACCCAGCCGGAGGGCACAGGATAGGCAGGCCTTGGTGAGAGGCCAGGGCCCTCAGGCCAGTGAGCTAGCATGAGCTGGGGTGGGGGCTGGGCAGGGGCAGCAAGGCGGCTCTAGGTGCCAGATACCCCAGGCCCCAGCTCCAGGTCTGTCCTGGAGACTGCAGCAGCAGCAGAGGCTGATGGGCGGCCACTCTACCTGGAAGTGCAGGATGATGGTCCAAATCAGGCCGAGGGTCAGCTTGGGATTGCCATCCGCGATGTCATCGTTCCTAATGTTCACTAACTTCACCTGCAAACAAGGAGCCCTCAGTCCTGCCCACAGGCAGCTGGGGAAGGGGGCTGGGGCCCAAGATGGGGTCTGGAAGGGGCGGGCAGCCTCACCTGGCGATGTCGGAGGTAGTCCAGGGCAATCTGCACATTCTGCAGCTTGTGGAAGCGCATCCTCCCCTTTTCTCGGGGCTGTAGGGGATAGGCGATCAGCATCCGCAGAGCAGGGGCACAGTCCCCACCCACCTCAGAACCCCCAAGGAATCTGTGCAACTGAACCAAGGGTCTTCCCCAGTGTGGCAGCAGCCCCTCTCTTATCCCTGGCTCACCCTCCCCAGCTGCAAAGGGGGCCATAGGCCTACAGGCCAAGCCCAGCAGGGGCTTGGGAATCCAACAGCCAGGCCCAAGCTGAGGGAAGGAAGGAAAGGGCTGGGGAGGAGACAATAGCCAGGAAGCCACGGGTGGAGGGCAGTGGCATTGGGGGAGGGGTCCTCCTGCCAGGCAGGTCCCAGGCCTGGCCCTGGGCAGTACAGCAGGCGGCTTGATGCACAGCCATCTGCCCACCCAAGTGCCAGGCACAGGTTGGGTCAGACTGGCTGCCAGCTCCAGGTGAGCTGGGCTCCAGTCTCAGGGAGCCCATGTGCCGTCATGACCAGCAGGCACAACCACTCACCAGGTGCGAGCTCCTGATTATGTCCCGCTCTCTTTGCTGCCCAGCCAGAGCAGGGCAAAGGGTAAAGGGCAGAGGTCAAGGTTCAGAGTCCAAGCAGCAGAGAAACCAAAGCAGAGTAGAGCATGAGATTACTGTATCAGGGTTTCCCATGAGGAGAGCAGCAGGGCCATGCGCCCACAGTGTGGGGTCAGGGCCACTCCCAGGCTGGCCGGACACTGCACCAGAGGCCCTGTGAGGCACAAGGCCAGGCCAGGCAGAATGGGCCTGTGGGAAAGGCCCCAAGGAGGGAAGGCAGGCAGGGTGTCCAGGTGAGGCAGGCAGGGCCACAGGGGGCTGGTGGGCACACGTACCAGGCTGTCCCCGGATAGCACCTCCAGCAGGGAGATGAGGTTGTGGCCATCACGGAGGTCTTCATACAGATCACTGATGTGCCTCTGGGCCTGCAGGGACAGAAAGGCTGGGCTGGCCACACATTCCCAAGAGCCAACAACAGGCCCTGGTGGGGGGGGGGGGTATTGACTACAAAGGGTAAGAGGCAGGGGGCCCAGAGAATATGCCCCAGGGCTCAAAGAGGCACCTACCTCTGCCCTCCAGTGCTACAGGGCAGATGAGGAGAAACCAGGAGAGTCCCGGAGAAGAAGGAAGAGGAGGAGACAGGAGGAAGCAGAGAAAGACAGAAAATCATAGGTTTGAGATGAAAGGTGAGCTCCCAGGCCTTCAGGACCCTGCGGGCAGGGGAGGGGCAACTTTGGGCAGGGGCAGGCAGCTCTTGTTTTGCCTGGAAGGCCAGGGGCACCCTCTTTCACTTCCACTGGGTCTCTTCAGTCCCATACACAGGCACCCACCTTGATGAGGTGCTTGTTGACCCACTTGGTGAAGGTTTTCTTCTGCACACGGTCCCGCTCGTCTGGGAGAGACAAGGCCAGGTTACCTGAGGCCTGGGAGAAGCCTCCAGAACCCCCAGGAGGTGACCACCGTGCAGATACAGTAGCTGGCACCTGAACAGGGCCTCAAAATCACAGAGACCTAGCACCCCCCACCAGACTCACACAGACCAAGGTACCCAGGCCCAGCCAGCCCCGTCCAAGGAGGGAGAGCACGAGGAAAACAAGGTGCCAGCTGTTCAATCCCCCTATTGTCTCCCTCTGGAGATGGGAGGGTCCAGAGCCGCGCCCAGAGCCCAGAGCACACAAGTCCCAGCCTGCCCCATTCCCACACGTGCCTCCTGGAGACCTAAGCATAAGAGGTCCCCCGCCAGGACCCAGACCTGGTCAGGAGGGTGGCAAGGGGGAGCCTCGTCCTCCCAACAGAGTAATGGACCTTCTCCAGGGCACAGAGAGCCCCCTACCCACTATGGCCCTACACCCAAGGCCCAGAGGCCACTGCCAGCCTTCCCAACATGGGCTAGCCCTTTCCCTGCTGGGCAGCTCTGCACCTGGGCCAGGACAGCACACTACCCAAGGCTCCAGCCCCTGTCTGAGTCTCTCCCCCAAATTCAGACCCTCAGAGCCTGGGTCCCAACCCCACCCAGAGCCAGGCTTCCTGCCACAGGAAGTGGGCCCTTCCAAACTTAGCCTGCCCTGCCCAGGGGGGGTGCCCACTACCTTTCTTGCCCTCCGAGGCCCTGAGGACGGCCAGGTAGAGATTGTCCTCCGAGCTGGTTCTCTTGTTACCCAGGCCCTGAGGCTCTGGCATGCGGAGCCGGTGCTGAGACATGGTGCCACTCCCGCCCCTCGGCACTTGGTCCCTGGCCCCCGGGTGCTGTGCTCTGAAGCCCTTTGTGCACACAGGCGGCTACAGCTGGTTGAGCATACGGCTCACAAGCTCAGCAGCGAGTTCAGCTCCCAGTGAGTTGGTTTGGCCACTCCCTGCCCACAGTACTCCCCAGCACCAGTCC